CAGACGGAAAGGGGATTCTAACCCATGATTCGTTTGCCACTGAGAATATTTTACATCAGCGCTGTGGTCTATGCGAGCTAGGAGCAAAATTCGTATGTACTAGCCACAGCTGTAATTCGAACATGGGCCACTTCTTTAAGTTTTCTGCTGTTCAGACGAAATTTCTAAAACTCGTGAATGTGAATAACGAAATTTTTTGGAATCTTAAACATTGATTATTTTCAGTTGAAAATCCTAAAAATTTATAATCGCAATAATGAATTATCATTTAAAAGTTTTTCAGTTCTTTAATATTGACATTTTGTAAATCCCATTCCCTGCAGTGATTGATAGTTTTGCTTATGATATGAATCGAACTAATAATCAATGATTTCCGTAAAGCTTCATTAATATGAAATTCGAAGAAAGTGAATTTTCTAAAATAATTGTTTCCCAAATTATGCAAAGAGCAATAAAAAAAAAGAAAAAAAGAAACAACCTCAATAATTTTTTATCTAAGGTGATTTTAGGGGTAGACATAGAATATAGTAAATAATATGTACATATTTAATTAGCGCACAGTACTGACGATGATATAGTTAAGAAAGTGTGCATTTAAACTGACTTTCTCTGAATAAATGCAATTTTTTCAATGGATTTGGATTTTCGACTCTCAAAATAAAAGTGTAAAAAGAAACCATCAAAAAATATCCTGACCGAATATGCTGGATGGAAGTCTGCACAATTAAAAAAAAACTTGCTGCTATTTGTCCTCAAATTGCTTTATACATAAAGTACAATTATTTGAAATGATTACATTTTATTAATGGGTTATAAGTTTTGTTATTTGAAAGAAATTTATGTTTGAGTTAATTGAGGAGGGGTGAAAATGTACTTAAATTGGAAACTTTTTAAGAACTTTTTCTTGTATCCTAACACATATTAAACCAAATTTTGATTACATGAATGAGAGAGTTTTGTTTATCAGTAAGAGGGTAAAAGTTTTGCCAACTGGTCATCAATACTTTTTACTTATAAATAAAGCTACCATGAGCAAACAAGAAATACTGTCATGTAAAAATGATTTCATATTTTTCATCTATTGATTTTAATTCCATTACTTTTTCTAAATATCATTTCGGCTATGATTTTAAATATGTCAATTGAATTATTATTTTTTTTTTTAACATACACTGATTCGTTGAAAATGCATTGATTGCCAAGCTCTAAGCCGCCCATTTTGAGTAACAAATTTTTTAAGAATAAAAATGGCGTAGTTGAAGTTTAAGAATGTGTATGAGCAGTAATATTACATGCCTCTGAGTGACTCTCTCAAAAGCGAGAATTATAGTCACACATTTTCTCAAACTAGAAGCTTTCTTCCGTCCCCCCCCCGAAAAAAAAGAAGAAAAGAGGAAATAAGAAAGTTATTTCTCGGAAAAACTTTGGATGAAATATAAATATACAAGCTTTACTTCAAATTTGAAGGGCGTAAGAAACTTGCAGTTTTTAAACACGCCAAAAAATGACCTATTCATAATTTCTATTAGTCCAGCATCACACTTTTTCTTCGGAAAAATTAATACCCGAGAGTTTTTGTTATTGCTGTTTCTAACACGGCAGTCATTGGACTTTTGCGAATTAAGTCAGGAAGGTGCGCCTTTCGTTTGACAAGAGAGCACCGCAAGAGTGAAAGTACATCTTATCTCAAAGCCCCACACGGATAGATGGGAGCACCACTCATTCGTGAGGCCACTTCATCAATTTAAATATAGATTTGCACGGGAAATTTTTTTCTCCTGATCTTTGTACCCATGGTATTGCTCAGCGACCTACCACAGAACCTTCGATTTTACAGATTTTACGAGCACTTATGGTGGGTGTTAACGGAGTAGAGTATCGAACTCAGGCCCCACCTGACCGGAGTCCCATCCTCTAACCACTGGGCTATTGCGACCCTCAAAGATTTTTTTTTCATATGAAGCTTTGCTTTGCCCTCATTAATGATGCCAAAAATCTCACTCTCTTTTTTACGTTTCTCCTTTTTTGAGGTAAACGGGGTGATTTGAAGAATTTTTTCTAGACAGGCAAGTGAGGCACTGTTCCTGATGTATTTTTCACGTTGAATTGAATTAGATCAATCAGGAGAAGATGATCGGGTGATAAGTGTAAAAGTTATAAGAGTTTTATACACAAAAAGGACAAAGTTGTACTTGAACCCATTTAATTATCTCATATAACTAAGCAACTGAGGCATTGTTTTTCCTATGCATTTTTTACGCTGAATCGAATGAAACTATACACTATTCAATAGAATAATTAGTTTAAAAGTTGCAAGAGCTTTTATGTAAAAAATGTACTATTTTTTAAGTAATACTTATATATAAACTTTAAAGAATTGCTTCTCTATACGGGACATATTTAAGGTATATTTTCCGATGTAATTATCAAGCTTAATTAAATGAGGCTAATCCCGAGACTATCAGAATGATAGTTTAAAAGTTATAAGGGTTTCTTTCGTTATAAATGCAATTCAAAAATAGTACATTTTTTACAAAATAAATCCTTTCAACATTTGAAATATTAGTCCTTTTGATCCGTGTTTGGTCTCATACGATTGAACGAGAAAATACATAGGAAATAATACCTCCCTTGCTTATATAATAATGTAAGATGTGTAAATAAGTGCTATTACAAGCTTGTACATTTTGCACATAACACGCTTATAACTTCTAAATTATTAGTCTGATCACTTCGGAATTAGTCTCATTTAATTCAGTGAGAAGACATAATCAGAAATAATGCCTTACATGTTCAGTTAGAATCCCTAGATAGTAATATGAAATGTGTACATAAGTACGCGTGAAAAGAAGTAAATTTTACTCATAATAACTAATGCAACTTCTGAACAATTTATCATATTGACTTGTGTATAGTATTATTCAATTCATCGTAAAAAATGCATAGGAAAGAGTGCTTTGCTTGTTCAGATAGATGTCAGAAGCATAAATGTGTACAAATACAAAATTGTACTTTTTCGTACATAAAAGCTTATAATTTCTAAACTATTGCTACTATGATCTCGTGATTGGTTTCATACGATTTAGTGTATAAAAATAAATCAGAAACAATACCTCACTTGCCTATATAAAAGATATACAATTCACTGCCCATTTCTCCCCTTAAAAAATTGAAACACCAAGCAGCGGCTGAATTCCGCCTAGCTACCGGACATGGCTGCCTAAGAAACCACATTCATTGACTCAAAATTGTTCCTTCCCCGATATGCACTTTGTGCAGCTCTGGAGAGGTCATGGATTCCGCACATCTACTCCACTGTCCTGCTCTGGGCAAGACTTTTCTGACCGAGCGTTATTGGGAGGCTAGAGATATGTTAGATTAATGAACTCTGTTTCAGCATTTTTTGTTGTACTCTGTGTTCTTTCTTTTTATTGTTTTCTGCTGTAACTGTTCATAATCTACCGTTAGAAATAAAAAGAAAAAAAAGATTGAAACGTGTAGGGCAGAGTAATGTTGTAACTCAAAAAAGTGACTTACTCATGTGGTCTTCTTTAGTTTCGAAATAATATATTGTAAATAAATAATTCCTTGAAAAACAATTCCACAAAAGATGACTTATTAGAGTCAAGTCTCTGTATCTAACATAATTAGAAAATTTTAACATACAGGTAATATTTGTGATTGATCAAGTACCAAGTACCATCCCAAAATTACGAATGTGTACTCATTTCTTTTTCTTGCTTTTAAAATTAGTCTTAACTATTTAAAGCATTTTTATATGCAAAAAATAAGATTAAATAACCATGCATTTTGCGAAATAATTAGCTTTTGAAATCTCTGATAGATATGCTTTAATTAGTTGTTTAGGAAGTTACATTCTTATAAATCATGATTTTTAATATCAGTTAATCAATAATATTTACAACTTTGGTGCAGTTTAGGGTGTGGTGTCCTTTGCTTCTACTATCTTTCGGACAACTTTCAACACATTTTCGGACAAGTTCGGACAGAATAAGAAATACAAAAATATTTTTTAGGTGCAAAAGTATTCTACTGCAGTGTACTGTGTGCAAAATTTGAAAAGTTATTTTAGCATGCTTTTTATAAAGTATACAAATACAGAGTTTGACTACTTTATATTAATACATATTAATGAACTAACAGCTTCAAGCTCTTTAAGGAAGACCTAGTAAAGAAGATAGATAATATTATTGCTGTTAAGGTGTTGTTCCTTGCAGAGAAGTCAGTTATCACTCTTAATATCTTATTGTTAGAGTACTTGCCAAAAATGAAGTAAAAAAAAAAATGCAAACACAAATTAAGGGACCCATAATGACTGCGTAATAAGAAACATTAAAGCCAGTTTGATTTCTGGATGAAATTCGACAGCGTTTTTAAATATTGTTATTCATTTCTTGTCAGTTTCCCCCGGCAATCAAAAAAGTTTTGATGTATCTAAACTTTCCTTCATCATTAATGATTCACGGGTTGTTTTTTCTTGCTTAAAATATTAATTTTCGCCCCAATGTGCTTAATTTTTGCTTTTGATGGATTCTAAAATACATGTTTAAGGAAGGTGATTGTGAAACACCCGATATCACGAAAAAAAGAAAAAAAAAATTCTTTAACAGTTGTTTGTGTGTGTGTTTTTTCCTGCGAAGTTTCAATTATTAAAAAGTGCATTACGTTTATTTGTTATCATTTTATGTTATCTTTAAATGTTTGCAAAGTATTTTTTTTTACCAGGATAAGTTAAAAAAGTTTTAAATCTGTAACAAAGTTTCCTTTATTTATTTGCTTATTTCTCGTGAAAATTATGCTTGTTTGTTTTGGAAACTAAATTGTCATTTATTGATATTTATATTAGAAAAATTATTTTATATTTAGCTTCATTTTCTAATCAATATGTTTACTTAAACGGAGATCGCAAACTTAAAATTCATAAATCAAAATTACTCAATATAAGAAGAAATAGAAGCAAAAAATATAAAATACGTTTATTACAATAAAAACACTTTAGTACAACATTCATAAGAAAATATTTTTTAAGTTTTAAGTCACACAAATAATGTATTTATTTATCTTATCAATAAATTTTCAGAAATAAAGCACCTCTTTCAGCTGGGCAACTTCACAAGCTTTTTTCAAAATCTGTAAAAGAGACAAAAATTAGACACGTCAAAAATATTTAAAAAAAATACTAATTAAAATAATCTTTCAAAATCTGGAGAAAGAAAATTTCTAACATAAGACTATGTTTAAAAAAATAAAAATGTTTCGTAAAAGAGGACTGAATATCATCCATCTTGCTTCTTGTTGCTAATGAGAGCTCCATGGGAAAAAAGTCATAAATCAATTGTATATCGGCTTTTTATTTGCTATCTATAGTTAACTAAAATCTTGTTATGCGTGGTTCGTTTTTATTAACGAGTTGTTCTCAGTTAAGTTGCAGAACATAACTTCGTCGACTTTTACGTAAATTACCTTAAAACCAAAAATGACTTTGCAATGTTTGGTTTTTTTCTTCTCTCAAATGTTATAATCTTTAGTTTGAAAATAGGTAATTCATATTATTGTCAAATACAAAATTATTTTTGATTTCGTATTTCATAACATCATTTTTTTAAATCTTAAACTGGGTCAAAACTATATAATCATCGAATTAGTATAAAAGCCAACGATTTTAAAGTTAAAAAAAAATGGTAAAAGAAAGACAGATTTTTCTAAAGATACTGGATGGATTTTGATTAGTAATTTTAGGTATGTTAATGCCATAGAAGTACTCATACTTTGCCAAAAGGGTTTGGTCACTAGGGGCTTCGAGGACGATTGAAAATTACAAACAAAAAATATATCTCTGTTATCATACCCCGTAATAAGTAGCAACCAGTGTGTAATTTCTACACCTTATAACGAGCAATGTGTACATTTTTAAAAAATATACGTTGTTTTCGTTAGAAATTTCTTCGTATATTTAACGTTTAAAAGCCTTCTTTCTGACAAAATGGTTTTTCTCCTCTTTTAACGGATCAAAACCGTCAGTTGAAGTTTTAATATTAGCCACGCAGTTTCGCATTCCGTAATATAGCCTATCATACTTGGTTTATATACTTGCTTAACTTATATACTTGCTCTTACTTTTTACTAATAACTTTATATTTTTGATTATCGTATAAATAAAACGGCGAGGCGACATTGTCAACTAGATGTGGTATTGAAGCGAAATTCTTACTATCACAAATTCTTTATAATAAAACACTTGAGCCGCAGTAGCTCAAGAGACCAGTGCGCAATGAAGCAATCAGGATTCGAAACCCAGTGATGACTGGTTGATACAAACTCTGTAGACATAAAATATTTGCATATGGTGCGAATATAGGTTTTTTCGTAACTTTTACATAGAAAACATGTTTCTATGTGGTTACATTTTGCTGAGACTAGAGATTTATCTTTGTTGTAAAAATTTGCTTTGTTACGGTATAAAAATAGTCTGATTTCGAATTTTCTTCGTAATTTTTATAGAAAAAACTTTTTTTTATATGGTAATAAGCCGTTGTTGTTGCGGATATACTTTGTAAATTTTACGGTTTCGTACAAGCAACCCAGATGCTGGCTTAAAACCGTAAATTGTACTGAATTTTTCTTTAACAGTGTATATTTACATTTGGTTTCGTAAAGGCACTTTGAGTACCCCCAAAGACGTAGACATTGTTTTTAAAAGTTGAGCTATATTTTATTTATAAAGTAATGATTATTTAATTAAATTTACTGAAAATTATTCAGAGTTTGGTACTTTAGTCCCTTTCATGTTAAAGGGTGCAAACTTATTTTTTTGTTAGCATTTTTGAAACCATTTAGTTAATATATTTTCTTTTTTTTTTAAGAAAAAAAATAAATAAAATAAAAAATTAGGAGCGGGAACTATTATTGAATTAGGATTGGAAATGTATAACTGAGTTAGTAGACTACATTTTTTACATTTTTAGTAGTTATGAAAAACTGGAAGACACATTAAAAAGAATACGATTAAAGACTCCTCAAATGTCTAATAAAACTAACCCGTTTTCTAATATGCGAAAGTACAATTGCGAGTGCTTTACTCCTTAGAGGGTTCGCTCCAAATGTGTACAGCAAAGTGATTTTGACATCACTCAAAAAGCTTATTATATTCACAGAATTGCAGACTTGGAAATATTTACGCATCGCTAAAATATTCACCACGCGTAAAAATTCAATCAACTCGCGGCTTGGAAGATGTCGATGCCGGCAGAAAAGTTAAAAGATGCCTCTTGAAAGCAAGGAATAAAATATAATAACTTTTCTGCTAAAGACTTAGCAACTTTCGGCACGACTTGGGGAGGGGAAGGGGACCTGCTAAAATCTTTCGTTCTTCAATGCATTCTAGGTAGCAGCGGACACCTGTAAGGTGATTTACCTACCGTTACACTTTTCCCAAACTCCCCAACTAATTAATTCACCACCTCTCCTCTTTTCCGCAATTGCTACATAGAGAAAGAGAAGCCTTTTTCAGAACAGAACATGAAATATTCATAAGTACTGGGTAATTAAGTCAGTTCTGGGACGAAGCCGCTTGACACATGTAGATGGAGCTGTAATTAACTTTAATCTGTTCTCTGGTGGGGGAAGAGTAAAACTGAAAAGGTGGAACTTAAGAAAGACCATTGTCTTTTCAACCAAAAAGACATTACCACCGGTTGATCACTGTTGTTGAGAAACCCACGGGCGCTAGGTGGCGCTGGAAGAGAATGAAAGAAGAAATCACAAAGACTTATTGACAGTGCGTCATAAATTTAGTAAAACTCTCTGGAGATATTCAGGATGGTGAGAAAACTTTCGCTTTGTCAAAGCGACGATTCTATTATCGGAAAAAGAATCGGAAGAGCTTTGACATTATTGGCTTTGTCTTAATGTTTTCAACAGGTTCTTTGGTTCTTAATTAATACAACAAACGAGGTGTTTGTTTTAATTTGAGAAAATTGACAGTGCAAATACTTTGTTGCAAAAGAACTTTTTTCTAATATAAGATTATATTTAATGTAAAATTCGGATTTATTTTTAACCAAGTTATGTCAAAAACATATTTGAACACAGATATCGAAAAATTACGATCACTTAGGTGCTTAAATATTCATAATATTTTAACGTTTTTGCGATTTCGCAAACAAATTTGGGAAACAATTTCTTCCTCGAATAACTTCTTAAAATCTTCCCCATTCTGTTTGTGCCATGTCATCATAGATCTATTACTTTTTCTTTCGCCATCAGGAGTATATATTCTAGGACTTTTTTTAAAAGATGACTATTCCATCTCCACCTTCTTTCACATGTCTCCTGGTCAGTGAATAGCACTTTGGCTCTGTTATGTAAGGCAACATAGGTCAAAAGCAACATAGGCAATTAGGTCAAAATATTTTAAATATAGTTTTTCATTCTCATACACAGTTTCTTTACTTATTGTCAAGGTTTGTTCTTCTATGGGGAAAAAAAGGCAGGTAGGCGCGACTGAGTGCGTAATTGTAGCGAAGGTGAAACTTTTTTTAGATCTAAAGAATGGAATATTATTTAAAAACAAGAGCTAAAATTAAAATTAAAAAAAAAAAAACTGTTTATATCAATTTTTGTTAATTTATTGGTTTTGAAGTAATAAAGATATTTATGCAAATGGATTTTTTTAAAACTGGAGAAGATGCCAGGGAGTCAAGGAGATAATGAAATAGAATTTCAACAAGACAATGCAAATACACTTCTTTCTGTAAAAATGAAGAGAACTCTAACTTTTGTAGATCAATTTCCAATGCTCGAAAACGTCATTAGTATTAGAGATAACAATGGAAGTTTTCAATGCTTCAATCTGAAATAAACTTCGACAAAATTATCAGCACAAAAACTGATAAGTAATCTAATAGAGAAGAATTAACTAAACCTACTGATGATGGTTTAAAACGAGGATTTAATTAAATACTTTAAACCAGACTTAAAAGTAAGCCTTACGGAGAAACTCAGAGCCACGGTATTACTTATTTTTAATTTAGTATACTTATAATAATTAACTCTGTATGAAGTTTGATAACAACGAGGTGCGTTAGTGATACTTTTTATTCTGACAATGCAGGCGGCTGAAAAAATAAAAATTTTGACACAGATTTTTTCTAAATTCTTGAAAGAAAAAGGGTGGGCATTTTTATCGAAATTTAGCAGCACAGGTAACAGGTCAATCGAAAGTAAAAGTTTATGATCATAAATGCAATTTAAATCCTGCAGCGAATGTTTCAAAAAATAAACTTTTATTTTATAATCTTCCTTGAACAGCAGACCTAATTTTGTGTTCACGACTGTCAATGTTTAACTTCGTGACTTTATAAATTTGAATCCAATCTAAAAGACAAGGAAACTCCAGGTTCAAGGTATTAAGCGAAATTAGCTTTGAGGAGGATTTTTTGATAGAACTAACCCCCATTTGCGTTACACGGAGAGAAAAAACACAAAAACCTCCCACGGTTAGCCTGATGGCTAAGAGGACTCTATCTCGTGATCCGTCTACCACTGAGAATATTTTAATTCAGCACTGTGGTCAGTGGGGACCGGGTTCGAAATTCGTATCGATCAGCCTCATTTGCTCGAACCCTAGTCACTTCATTGGGAGGCGAGCGCTCCATTCCCTGAGCCACTATGGCTCCAAAATATAAATTAGGCTTGAAAGATTACTGAAAATATTAAAATGAGCTCGTCTCTTTTAAACAGCAAAGAGCATTTGTCAATCATTAAATATCAGAAATCACCTAAACACATGAGCAAGTAATTCACGAAGATGAAGGCATTGTTTAAGTTTTGATTAAACTGTGGAGAGGTTGGAAAGTTCTTAAACTACTTTTATTTTTCTTCTTATAGCAAGAGTTCACAATCGGTGGTATGCAAATCCCTAGTGATGCGTGGAAAAGAATAAAGGAATTCAAGAGTTTTTATCTAAGCTTTCAACCAGATAATCGCTGCTTGGAAGGAAGAAAAAAAAACGCACTTTAACCAGACACATTTTGGATAAAACTTAAAAAAATAAACATATATATTTTGTAATGACTCTTCCAGTTCGGAGATTAGAAAAAGTCTGAAAATCTGTAATAAATGCCGCTCTT